TGTATATACATGCATACATACTTACCATGAAGAATAGAGATAATAATAATATAAAATAAAAATAAATATCTTTTTAATTCTTATTTTATTAATTTTCCTTTCATTTATGTTATGTTAAACGAATTTTCTAAAAATTTATACTTATTTCAGATTCATATGTAGGAGTTAATGTGGCTGCGTTCAGATATTCATTACCAGTACTAAAAATCTATACTTTACGTCATGTTCATTATAGATTTTCACTGGCAGTGAATATCGGGGATACAGCCTATATGAAGAGGCTTGCAATTGAAAAATATCACAGAAATGAAATTGAAAAGCGCGCCACAGTTTCCCTGTTAATGTCGGACGTTGTCCATACTCTCACTAGAGGTACTCTAACCGGAGCTTGGTGAAAGTTGCCCTTAATATTACTGAATATTATGTAGCGTCAGTCCTCGCCGTGGTTCCTGTATATTTGGCGTCTCGTTTATACACACACGAGCCTAAAATACAGAATACAGATACTACCCACAGCTTTCCCCAGCCTTTCCTTCCTCCAGGTTGGAGCATTCGGCGCGCCAGGCAGGTTCTAGTTACATAATGCGGGCATCATGAACGTGTTGATGCCGAATTGTTCAAAGATGGTCGGAGTAACGTCGTACGCCTGCAGAAACGCGCTGCGCCAAGTGAGTGCCGCGCGAAACGACAGATTTCGCCGACGATGATCCAAAGACGCCGTACGATCTCTCGTCGCGACTCTGCATTCATTTTCTCTCGCCACTGTTGCGCCTGGCGAGCTGCCGCCAGCTCCGGAGTAACGAGCGCGTCATTAGAATGCCGCAACTTCGTTTTTCCCCCTCGAAATTTTCGGCTTTGCACCTGAGACAAAAACCAAAAAAAAACCGGAACATAGAAGTGACGAGTTCCTTGCGTCAATAATTAAATTCGGCGATTGAAAATGATCTCTTAGCGCGCGTTAAAATGCAGTCGTCCCGTCCGCCAACGTCCCCGAACTGTCAGTCTATCGGGGACGGATTTTTATTGAGCTCTCGTGGCGAAGTTTGCCAGCAGAGTTCCGTATCGGAGCGCGACGGCAAATCGGATGGCAGAAGTTATGTTGACGCTCGCCATTTCGTAACTATTTAATTATCACGTCGGCTGTGGTATTTTGTTCTGATCTGCTGGCGAACAGCTGGTGTGCTGTTAACATTTCCGGATCCTTTTACCTTGTGAGCGTAAATTTCACAGGCCCGAGGTTTGCACACCGCGGCCGTTCAAAATGCCGAGGCCAAGCTTAAGACCTTCTCGATTTACCGCTGGAATCCGGACAAGCCCGACGAGAAGCCGTATATGCAGAAATATAAAGTCGATCTGAATGCGTAGGTTACATCTACTTCAATGTTTCTGTCTTTTTCCTTTCTTCAATTCCCTCTACGTTTCTCTCTAGCGTTTGACGTCTTTTCCAGTTGCGGCCCAATGGTACTGGACGCGCTAATTAAGATTAAGAACGAGGTCGATCCAACGTTGACATTCCGTCGTTCTTGTCGCGAAGGCATCTGTGGGTCCTGCGCTATGAATATCGGAGGAACGAACACACTGGCGTGTATCAGGTATCGTGTCGCAGCCACTGCCACATGTCTATATTGTTTAGCCAGGGTTGGGAAGTAACTCGTTACTTGTAACGAAGGTATAGTTACAGTTACTTCTTTTTGGTAACTCTAACTTAACTTTGTTACTTTCTTTACATCTGTAACTGTAACTTAACTCAGTTACATTTTTTCGATAACTAGTAACTAATTTAATAGTTACATTAATAGTTACTTTACATTTTCTACCTCCGCAGATCACATTAGGCCTTGCATTTGCGCATAAACGCCTTTATCCCCTGCCGGAAATAATTCTACAAAATTCTACAAGAAAATTAAATATAACTGCCAGAATCTAAGAAATTCTACGTAAAGAACCCCGCACTAATCATATAGGAAATTGCATCTCGGTTAAATTGGCTAGTTTTCACATATGTTGTAGCCTATGACTTGCTGAACAAAAAATATAATGGGCTCAAACTTAAATAATGGCTAGTTACTGAGCTACAGCCAGTCAAACATGGAAAATTTGGGCTCCGCGGGCCTTGTTTGGAAATACTTTGAAGCATATTAGGAAAAAATCTTTCAGACAAAAGCTATTTGGTTCGATATATATTTGTTTGGTTCGAAATAAGACTATATTTCATTATATAGTGTCTTTGAAAAACTCTTGACATAAAAATGTGCAATGAAAGATGGGGTTGTCCATTTAAGAAATTGAAATTGACCTTCATGTGACCTTCAAATTATTATCCAAGGTTAAATTAATGGCATCGTCTTATGTCTCCCCACGAACCAAACAACTTTTGTCTGAAACATTTTTTCCTAATATGCTTCAAAGTACTTCCAAGACCTGCGGAGCCCAAATTTTCTATGTTTGACTGGCTGTAGCCCAGTAACTAGCCATTATTTAAGTTTGAGCCCATTACATTTTTTGTTCAGCAGGTCATAAGCTACAACATATGTGAAAACTAGCCAATTTAACCGAGATCCAATTTCCTATATGATTAGTGCAGGGTTCTTTAAAAAGTGTTATAAAAATCAACATAAAAATGCTAGAATTGGAACACTTTTGTTAATTTTTGTAATATTCTACAAGTAAGCGGATGTTTTAATTCTTTAAGATTTCGTTGTTTCTCAAATTTTTTAAACTGGTACAGTTTTGTACAAATTTTTACAAAATTGTACATTTTCATGAAGTACCCCTTATGAAAAAATACACTCAATCATACGTTGACGGTCCGAAATAACCATCAAATTGAGTGTAAACCTTCATGAAACACTCAATTATGAAGGTTTACACTCAATTTGATGGTTATTTCGGACCGTCAACGTATGATTGAGTGTATTTTTTCATAAGGGACTACTTGCAATAATTTCTTGATTTGAGAACATTGTAATTTGTGATACTATTTTATAGATATTTTTACAAAGGAATAAATGTTTCAACGAAGATATAAAAATTTCTACAAATTTCTATTTCAAGTCAATTTTTTGTAGTTTGTAGAAATTTTTTCCGCCAAGATCGCCGCTTTACAATTCAGATGCAGATTCGATACTTTTATTTCTATTGCAAGGAAGTAACTGCAAAGTAACGATTCGTTAAGGCCTTTGCACGTAAAAAAGCGTTAACCGTAACCGTAATTTTAGTCCGTAATCGTAGTTTTCAACACGTACAGACAGATGGAGCAACCCAAGTAAAATTCCTAAGGTTACGGACTAAAATTACGTAGGGTCCGTAGATTATGGACTAAAATTACGGTTACGGTTAATGCTTTTTTACGTGCAAAGGCCTTTACTCTTCGAGTAACTGTAACTGTAACGCGTTACTTTTCAGGATTGGTAACTTGTAACTGTGACTAGTTACATTGTTAGCGAAAAAACTGTAACTGTAACTAGTTACTTTTATAAAGTAACTTTCCCAACCCCGATTGTTACTGCCGGGCACTTCAAGGATATCTCGAGAAAATTTGTAATTTCATTGACACTATCTGGGATCGTGTGTGGAAACTGCGTATCCTAACTAGGCATTCATAAATCGAGGCTCTTCAAGTGAGAATCGCAAATGTATCAATCGCTGAAAGTAGAACAATTATGTGTTTCAGCAAAATTGATAAGAATACAAGCACGGCATGCGACGTTTACCCTTTGCCCCACATGTACATCGTCAAAGACCTGGTGCCGGATTTAAATAATTTCTACGAACAGTATCGCAGTATACAGCCCTGGCTGCAGCGCAAGGACACGAAGGAAACCGGGAGCCAGCAGTATTTGCAGAGCGTAGAAGACCGTAAGAAGTTGGTGAGTGCGAGAGACTGTAGTATTTATTTGATTGTTCTCTGCTTCAGTTACAGTTACATCTTCTTCAATCTAGAACTAAACGTACAATCCTATCTTTTTTGATTGACACAGGATGGTCTCTACGAATGTATTCTCTGCGCTTGCTGCAGCACATCTTGCCCGTCCTATTGGTGGAATGGTGATAAGTATTTAGGCCCTGCAGTACTTATGCAAGTAAGCGCATCCTAATACGTTGTTTCAAACGCGACATTGCATTATAATCAGTCATCAATAAGCGATTTAGAGGAAAGTGCGAAAATTCTTTGAGAATGAATGAAGCACACTGAACAATTTAGATAAGCAGCTTAAACAATTTAGATACAGAGAAAAGCCCCCTATTATGAGATAGGCTTCTAACAAAAGATAGCAGGGTTTCCGTTAAATTAATAGGCATCGTCTGTTGATCCCCCCATAAGTTCATTGCACTTGGGGTGAAATGTGTTTAGTGGAAAATTCATCGTTCGATCGTGTAATCGTCGCGAGAAAAGATTTGTCATTGAATTTGAATGTTTGAATTTGAACAGGGGACTTTTCTCTACACCTGTGAGAAATAACACGTGTATCTGTAAGAGATAACATGTACCTGTAGAGGATAAATCAAAATTAACATGTTGATGTGCTCAGCCCGGCCTCGTAGAATTTTTCCCTTACATCGCATATTCTTCCTAGACTTTTCAACTATCGTTTTTTTTTCCCATCAGGCCTATAGGTGGATTATCGATTCGCGAGATACCCAAGCAAAGGAGCGCCTGGAGAAATTGAAGGATCCATTTTCAGTATACCGTTGTCATACAATCATGAATTGCACGCGTACGTGCCCAAAGGTGAGTTTTAATTCACGTTAGGAGCTGCTTCAAAACTAAACTGTTGTAACAATATACAAGTAATTTATGTTCTTTTAATACTTGACGCTTTACTCTGGGCAAATATTGCAGTAGTTTTTGCTGCTTCAAGAAAATTTAACTAATTGCATATAAGTATTCAAAATACATTGTATACTGTTTACAATTTAATTCTCACAACGAATAAAATTCAAGTCGTTGACATAATAGTGACCAGTATTAAATTCAGACTTATTTCACTAGTAGCAGTTTGTTAATAATTTATTTTGTTTACTCAGATCTCGATTATTGTTAGGTCTTACTTCTCTAGTCACAATCAATGCATTTCACTCCCTCACTTTTAACTTTTAATATTTCTTTATGTTTATATTTTATATAATTGTGAGTTAACAAATATAAAGGAAGAAGTGATAAAAGTGAATCGGTTATTTGAAATCTGACAATTGAACAAGCTGAGAGAGAACAATAGTAATATATGCTGTAATTCTGAACAAGCTAATGAAACAATTGCGAGAAATTTGGCAAATTGTGAAACAGTTGAACTTGTTATTTCAAAGACAGAATTGTAGAATTATTAAATGACGCACAAAAACATTTTGTACAGGGTCTAAATCCTGGAAAGGCGATAGCGGAAATAAAGAAACTGTTGGCTAATGTCAGCCAGAAGCCGCAACCGGATCTCGCCGCGTCGGGATCTCCATAGTTAAAGGAATACCGAATAGAATTAATAAGTTCTATACACTTGTCTTATGTATTACTACGTGCAGCGAACATGTAACCAGCGGAATATCTCGTACGACCATATGCAGGGGATCCACGAAATAGCAGCTGAAATGTCCTAGCAATCGAAAGATTAGTTAAGCACTACTTGTAAATAAAAACAGGCTTCCCATGGAACTATGTTATACGCAGTAATTATTAATGTAGCGATCCCTCGAACAAAAATCACTTGGACTATGCTCTTTGCCGGTTTAACATTTTCACGGTTCAGCGGCCATCCGAATCCTTGCGGTCTCGCGCGATCGATTGTGTACCTCAGCGGTGCGTAACGTTATACCGAATATGTCTTCGTGGTAGCGGTTTTCATCCTGAAAGAGTCACACAGTGCAGCGAAACAATTTAAACGCGCGGCAAGTATATTCGCACAGCTGTATATAAATCGCAAGCAGTAAAAACAATAATAATACACAAAAGATGTACCCTCAGCGATAACATGTACGCCTCGACTTCTTTGTCCGTCATTTGGCTGTGCGTTTGTATGATCTGTTTCAAGGTCTGATAAACGTCCTCCGCCATCGTGCAGTCGCCGCAAACGTAGAAGTGGCCGCGCTCATACACCACCATGGTGTAAATCTGATGCGCTTCCGCTTGGATCAAATCTTGCACATAGGTCTAACATTTGTAAAAGGTGCAGGCTTAAATTCATCCATTTTACACATTTATACATATAATATATGTATACTGTGTATAAATTATATACATATAACCTACTTTATATACAGGGTGAGGAAAAAGTACCGGACCGGTGAAATATCAAGACAAATATGGGAGATACAGAAAAATGTTTCAGATAAAAGTTGTACGGTTTTAAAAGGGCTATGTAATGGTAAAATAAATTTTCGAAAAAAATAATTTTTTTATGGTTATATAGAGGCCGCCGTCATTTTTTTAAATGGAACTCGCTATTGTTTATTATACTATCTTATTCTACTAATTAATATGAACAACTTTTGTCTGAAACATTTCTTTATTTGCCTAATACTTTTTGAGATATTCAAGAGAAAATTTATAACTTTTTCAATGTTTAGCTTATAATCTCTCGATAACTGTTTGTCGGAGGGAAAAGTAGTACAGGACTGTTTTACTTGATTTAGTCTCAGGAATATGCTGTTGCAATGGTGTTTCAATTATTGAAAATTTTTGTGTATTGTAACACATAAAATTTACATACACAAAATTTTTCAATAATTGAACCACCATTGCAACAGCATATTCCTAAGACTAAATCAAGTGAAAAAAGTCCTGTACTACTTTTCCCTCCGACAAACAGTTATCGAGATATTATAAGCTAAACATTGAAAAAGTTATAAATTTTCTCTTGAATACCTCAAAAAGTATTAGGCAAATAAAAAAATGTTTCAGACAAAAGTTGTTCATATTAATTAGTAGAATATAGTATAAGTAGAATTTAGTAGTATTATTTTATTAGTAGAATTAATTAGTAGAATATAGTATAAGTAGAACATAGTATAACAAACAATAGGGAGTTTCGTTTAAAAAGATAACGGCGACCTCCATATAACCATAAAAAATTAATTTTTTTCGAAAATTTATTTTACTATTACAATATATAGCCCTTTTAAAACCGTACAACTTTTGTCTGAAAGACTTTTCCGTATCTTCCATATTTTTCGAGATATTTCACCGGTCCGGTACTTTTTCCTCACCCTGTATATTTATACCATATGTGTACATACGTGTAACTTTTTACGGAGTAATATTCGAGTTTCTTTGTAAGACTTTTTCCGACCTTAGATCTATAAAGTAGTATACATGCTAATATACCTTCTTAAGACCAGGCTCTCGGGACAATGCTAGGAACACCTTATCCAAAACACCGGCCTCCAACATTTCTCTCTTCTCTTGTCTATACAGGTCCAAATTTTTTTGACGACAACCAAAGAAAAGCCAAATCTTGCCGAATTTTTGATCTAGAAAAGTGATCACACGCAGTGTCAGTGGTGCCATAAGGATATTTGACATTAAAATTTATAAATACATAAAAATAAACGAGGTATGCGTGAGAAAAGCATCCGTACTCTGCTGAAGTTTCATCTGAGCAAATCGATGATGCCAGAAACCTCGGAAAGGAGCGATTCCAGTACCTGGTCCCACCAATATCACTGGTGCCTCAGTTTCCGTCGACATATAAAAGTTTGGCGCGCTTAAATTTTAATCAAGGATTATATTCAACGTGAGATCTTTATAAGCGACGTTTACAAAATTGACGTCTTTTACCTTCTCACAAACACATACAGCAACTCTCCCTCGGATATTTGCCGCAGATAATTGGAGCAAACGCCGTAATGTACTGGTCCAGAGCCGTCTAGAATCAATTTGTTAAATATAGTCGAAAAGATATTATCGGTTCGCTGCTAAATTGAATGCGTCTGGACTATGGACAGAATTCTTCGGAGTGAGAAAGAAGGGACGAAACCATGAGACATAAGTACTTTGCGTTTGATATTGCACCACTGCGACTGTCAGGTGTATCTGCCCCCGGTGCACCTGGGGAGATGACGAGATGCTGTAGAATCTCGGTTGTAAGGGCGTTAGATGAAGCAGAAGCAACGGAGCGAACGGAGTCACGGATGGAAATTCGTCCAAAACTTCGGCCAAATTAGGAAACTTCCAGTGTCTCCAGTCCTCGTAAGCCGCCGGATCCTATTTCAAGAAGGAAATCTTTTAAATGTTATAAATTTAATTATATTTCTTGTAAATTATTGTGTTTAATGTTGCTGTATGTGTTCAAGAGAAACTGCGTTAAGAAAATTCCTAAACATTTTTAGGTCTTTCAATCTTCGTCCATTTTAAATTAGAATTGATAAATATTTTAGAGCTAACAATATTAAGTCAGAAATTACTGTGAAAAAGTGATAATTTTTAGTTTAAAGACTTGATTTTTCATTATATTATATTAAAATTTCCAAATTCGTCTTCGAATTCTTACATTTCGAGAAACAGCTACATTTATACATTTACATATTTACAGAGGACAGAAGATCAAGCTGCGTCCGTTCTTTCACGTTCGTAGCTATCGAGGCGAAATATCTCAACAGATTCGGCGTAGGCGGCGTCGTGATGTCCAAGAATCGAGTTAACAGCATCCTGAAGGAATTGGGCAAATATCTGTCGTGAGGTATCCACGTTTTTACAATTCCTGGAAAGAGCAGCTATTAGTCCACTTGTGATGTAAAAGACAGGGGGGGGGGGGAATAAAAGAAAATTGATAGCTTACCATTAGGAGTATGCGCTTGTTTCTGCATCTGCAGTTCGATCGGCGTATCAGCGTCGAAGGTAGACTGCACACGTTGTATGATTTTCTCCACCAGGTCTGCACGATTGCACGCAAACACACCTAAGTGATCCCCGGGTTTATAAGAAATATCCATGCCAACTATGTCATCCAGTTCCAGGAGCAATGTTGTTCCGCTGGACTCGTCGCCGCTCAGGTTGGACCTTCGAAGCAAATTGCACATCGTCACGTTTCTGTTATGGCATTTGCTCAATGCTTTGGCGATCGGTTGAGGCTCGGCTTCTACAAAACGGACTGTTGCCGCAGACAATGCCTCAGAGCCCAGAGACAGGGCTACTTCTAACAACGTATCGTCGTCGTCCAAGCAGAATGTTTCGCACGCGATCGCGAAGATGTCAGCTGCCCATTTCCGAAAGGTCTGCTCCTGTCCACACATCTCGTCGCCCTGGGCCAAGCGCGCCAGCCGCTCTCCGCCCAGTTCGCCCAACAAGTTGTCGACGTAGCGACCGAACGCGCAGAAGTTTGGATACGCGGACGAGCCCAATGCGAAAACAGCGAATCGGACGTTGCTGAGGGGTCCAAAGGTATCCTCGGTTTGCGACTCCGTCGTAGAACCGCGCAAGGAATCTAGTCGATCCAATTTCTTCGACCCGCTCACCTCCGTCTGGCTGTTAGCCTTGATAAATGACTTCGAGGTCGCCAAGCTTATCTTGTTCTCGCTGTTTATATAAGCGTCGTTCATTTTCATCGCGTACAAATTTTGCGCGAAGACCTCTCCGTTTTCCGGCGGGTCGCCGTTTCCGAAAGTCGAAGTTATCACCAGCAGCAGAGCCTCGTGTTCGATGTTACTGATGTCGTATTCTTCCATTGAAAGGACCTGGGAGTGAAAAGCGTGGCCCAGTAACTCGCTCAACTTTTCCGCATACATTTGCGACGTGCCGGTTTCCGTAGCGAACAGCACGGTCGCTTTTATTCGACGTGACAATGCACGCCCGAACAGCTTGGACGTGAATTTCACGGCCCTCGCGATCTGCTTGAAGTGAAACTTGCGTCTCGGTTTCTTCGACGTCGCCTTCTTGTCGCGTCCTTTCTTCCACACGTGAGTCTTCCACGCTGGATCCTGGGCGTCGTAAGAGGGCTTCAAGTGATAAAGCGCCATTTCCTGGTGAAAGACCGGCGTGGCGGAACCAGATATCGGCGGCACGATCCAGAGCCAGTCGGCGGGACAACCGTTTCGGAGGCGCATCTCATTTTCATAATGTTTCATGAAGGACTCCGAAGCGGTGTGATGATCCACGATCGTCACGTTCTTCATCTGAAAGCTATGCAGTACTGCGACGTTAGCTTCTATCATCGCTTTATCTTTCCACAATGATGTGGACGTCCTTGTGTCCAGACCCATGCTCGTCGCTATTGTCTCGAGCATATTGTATCTTTGAGCATCACATAAATCTCTAGAGCCAATCTCGGTGCTCATGTACCAGCCGTTGAATGGTGCCGCGGTAAATACGAGACCCCCGCAATCGAAAACCATCCCAGACACGGCCGGAACGGCGAACCACTTGAGACCCAATTTCTCAAACCAGTCGTACCTAAATACATTGTATATTGTATTTATCATATATCAAATGTATCTCCTTCAACACAAATATTATTACACGTAATAACTTTAGAAGTAACCGCATGAGTTTTGGATTGACATAACAAAGTGTGAGTAATAACATTATTTAAAGAACAAAAAATTATTCATATCATACGTTCAGTTTACCCATGCAAATTGCACGCTCAAACTTTATACAAAAGTCTTATATTTTCTTCCAAATGCATAAAGTTAAAAAGAAGAACGAAATTGCGACAAATAAATTTAACGCAGTAAGCCTTATATTATTCACATAATAATTAAATATTTTCATCAGATAGACAAAAATGTTAAGTTAGACCTTTCTGTAAAAGCTTTATATTATTTAATAAAAGCTTACGTAGGATGACTAAGAGACACTTCGAATACCAAGTCGCTGGGAATGTCAAAGTAATCTGGATCGTGTCCATTGGCGGATAAAACCAACGGCAGGATGTCAAATCTGGTCCGCGCCCCTTTCCATCCTAATTTTATGCAAACCTATCGAAAGAAAGAAGTGCGTCTATGTTGAATTATTTTCGAAACACGTGCGTTGCTTCTTTATAAAGAATTTTCCAAGATGTTAGACATCTTTTCCCTGTCGGAAATAATTCTACAAAATTCTACAAAAAAAATTAAATATAACTGCCAGAATCTAAGAAATTCTACGTAAATTTAAAAAGTGTTATAAAAATCAACATAAAAATGCTAGAATTGGAACACTTTTGTTAATTTTTGTAATATTCCACAAGTAAGCAGCTGTTTTGATTCTTTAAGATTTCGTTGTTTCTCAAATTTTAAAAACTAGTAAAGTTTTGCACTAATTTTTACAAAATTGTACATTTTCATGAAATACTACTTGCAATAATTTCTTGATTTGAGAACATTGTAATTTGTGATACTATTTTATAGATATTTTTACAAAAAAATAAATGTTTCAACGAAGATATAAAAATTTCTACACATTTCTATTTCAAGTCAATTTTTTGTAGTTATTTATAGAAATTTTTTCCGCTAGGGTTTGGTTTAATAAATAATTAAAAAAGAATTTGTATCTCTTGAATAAATATAAATATTCTGACCTCTGTGAATTCTACGTTCACAGGATCGCCGAGAATGGTGCCATCTGGATTTTTGTATCCCGCATAATTGATCAATTGCGTATTCCATACTCTGTAATCATGTTTTCCATCGGTGCGCTGCGGAAATATTGTTATCGCGGACCTGAAAAATCGTGCGCACAAATAATTATATATCCTGCGCGCAAGTACACCTGGCAATATTTGAAATGATTTTGTGACAATTGATATAAAACTGTCCGCATTATAATTGCACTCTACCTGATATTTCCTTTATTTGTACTGTACTTGATATGATTGCATAGAGCCTCGAACATGCCACTCGTAGTTGTGACGTAACGGCAATCGAAAACCTGCAAGCGCATACGTTTCATAAACAAATCGACAAATATATTTTTTTCAGATATCTGCGAACCATTCAAGCGAGCAATATATTATTCTTCTTTCTCGCAAAGGATGAACAAATTGTAATGCGAAACGAACCTGTAGCTTCGACCACTGTATGCGACCAATGCATCTTGCAGCATTCCGCCAAGCCAGCTTTGCACCAAAGACCAGTTCCGTTTCCGTTAACTGATACGTACCGGTGGAAATCACTTCTCTCTGCACACTCTCCAAACGTGCGCGATGAGCGTCACTGTTTAATCTACGTTCAAACATGAGAGAAAGCTCAAGATTCGAAAGGGATTTTCAAGGGTTTAACTTCAAGGAATTTTATATAAATATGACAATGATTTTACATTATATATAGCAATTTTAGTACCTTCTGATGGAAGTGAAGTACTGCTCCAGAAAGTCAGTCGCGTGAAGTAAGATTTCCTCTTTCGTGCGTGGCTCTGTTCCATGAGTCGGCAGCTGCATTACGCTACCAAGACAGACTTGACTCGAGCAAAGGATTTTCTAGAAATGTGTTCAATATCATTTTATTGTTATCGCTTACTGTATATTCTTTTCATTTTCATATACACACATATACATATTGTATACAAAATACTGATTAAACGAGAAAGAGAGAGAGAGAGAGAGAGAGAGAGAGAGAGAGAGAGAGAGAGAGAGAGAGAGAGAGAGAGAGAGAATAAAACGCACACTTCTAGATTAATCTGTTATTAATATAAAAAAATAATGATACTATATGATACAGTAAATTGCAATTGATTTTCATATGCAAGGCTACATTTAAAAAATCAATTAAACCTGAATAAGTTTTAATTATATTGCAATATATATATATATAGTACCTGATGCGTTACAATAACGGCTAGTATAACTAAAACGAAATTAGCATCCCATTAAAAGAGTAAATAGAATATTCATTATTATATTAATAACTAAAACAAATTTATGATGCACCTATACATATGTCCGCGTATAGAAAAAATATACAAGATCAAAACAGAAAATGGACATCACTAATTTCTTAATTTCTACAAGAGATTTCAATTTTTTTGGAAAGTATTTCTAGTAAAAAGTTTCTGCTTTCAATTTTTAATTAATTTTTTTCACGTCAATTCCCAAAAAGTTTCGCAATTAGTTCCTGAATAACGCGTCGCTCAATTCTTAACATCTCTATTTTCACATGCTGACAATTTTCGATATTAAAAATTTTTTCCAAAGTACCTCGGCATTTCTCACGTGCAAGGAATCAAACGCCTCCGTCTTGTCCGCGATATTCCTGAGTTTCGTCGGCTTTCTTTGATGGGGCGTCCCGTCGTGGTCTTTCATTTTGCGCTTTAGTGTTTAACTGTTCCTGCCTAGTAGACTGACGACAAGCGCGACGATAAGGTGGAAAGGACGAGAGGACAGAGCGCAGAGATGACACAACGCAGCATCTCACGTGCCGTCATCTCACATGCGCCAGCATGCGCAACATTGATCCATTCTGGCTTGTCCTCGCAGATCAATCAACGCACAGGACTTCTCGTGTCGAAATGAAAATTTATGGCAAATTTACGGTCTGCAAATTTAACATTTCGCATATTAGCATTGTTATTTTTATGTTATCGTTAGGTTTTTAATAATAATAGCAACAATAAAATAATAATAAGATATAATAATAGGATTATTCAAGTTTCATGAAACAGCGATCTCTCATAACATTATACGTTATATAATTATTATCGTATAAAACATTATTAAATTAAATAATTTTATCAAAAAAACAGAATACTTGAATGAGAATCTATTTAAAAGATATAAAAGAATGTCAAGAGCATCACGATGTGAAACTTTTTCTTGAAAATCATTATTTTATTTTCAGAGGTTTTAAAGTCGCTATGTTTTAATGAAACACTACTTTTTTTTATTCCTTACGTTTTATAGTTGGCACTTCATAAATTATATTATCTGATAGGATTATTTAAGCTCGAAATTGTTCCCGTATTAAATTATTGAATTCTTCTCATCTGTTATTAGTAAGCTAAATTTAAAAAATGCAGTTTTATTTTAATAAGGAAACGTTAAATTACAGAATGTGACTATAAAAAGTTACTTTCAGACATTCGATATGTCTTATTCAATGGAACATGTGTATCCCCGTAGTATAAAGTGACGAAATTACGTATATACAGGGTGGCCCCGAACGTTCCGGCCAGGCTTTGAAATTTTATAGGAAATTTAATTCTGAACAAAAAGTTTCTCATAAACATGGGTCGAAAAATGCTTCCTTAAAAAGTTAGCGCCCAAAAATCTCTGAAATCACGGTTATTTTACACATTTTTTCTGCATTGTTTAAACCAATCACCATAGATGGATGGAAGGAAGAGTAAAAGATAAAAAGAAAATGAAGTACAAAGAAAATGACATTTAATCAATTTCTTGGAAAATAAATAAAAATAGAAAATAAAAATTCTTTTCTTTCATAAAAACAGAATAATTCTACTTTTTAAACAAAAACAGTACTGTAATAATAGAAAATACTCTGCTGCATGAACAATAGGAATACTCTGCGATGCAGGACTCCAAATTAGCGCGGACTCGGGGAAAATAACCGTGATTTCAGAGGTTTTTGGGCGCTAACTTTTTAAGGAAGCATTTTTCGACCCATGTTTATGGGAAACTTTTTGTTCAGAATTAAATTTCTTATAAAATTTCAAAGCCTGGCCGGAACGTTCGGGGCCACCCTGTATATATATTTTTAACCTTATGACTTATTTGGTACGGGTTGTATGAATTTATAGGAAAGTGAAGAAGAGAATATGGACGCGGGAAAGAGAAATAGAGCGGAAAATCGAGGTACATTTACATTACAAGTCTTTACGTTACGGTTGTAATGTAAAGATTTGCAAAATATATCAGATATCATAATGTTTCTATTCTCCTGTATTGGATACTCATTCCACGCTCGATACAAAAATATACGCGTACGATTTTAATTGTCTATCATAGTTGTAGAACAATCCCACTTCATAGATCTCTCCACAGCCATTTTCCACTTGGAATAACGGAGATCTCTCTCTAAAATAGAAACGAAAAGTTTGCATATGTTATTATCAAGTACTTTGTATTCCCTTTGACTTCATTTTATCATATGTAACGAGACATTTACCGTCTTCACCAATCTCGGGTGAAAATTTCGTTATTTGAGACGCGTCCACTTCGTTTATATCAATTAAACCTGCACCAATGCCAGCTAGAATGGCGGCGCCCAATGCTGTCGTTTCAACCATGTTTGGCCTCACTGTTTGCAACATATATGATTAAAAGAATTACTTAATGGATTTTAAAGAAGTCTCGTACTAATATATTGTTTACTTACCGACAGATATCCCAGTTAAATCCGCCTGTAATTGCATTAACAAATCGTTCACGGTCATACCACCATCAACCTGCAGAGTCGTCAGTTTCGTCCCTGAATCTTTGACCATTGCTTCCAATATGTCCCTCGTTTGGAAGCAAACTGCTTCTAATGCTGCACGTATAATGTGATATTGCTGCGTATCCTCGGTAATACCACAGATTACTCTGTTAAAACGTTCGATTAGAAAGAGAGAGAAGTCTTGACAATCTTACAACAATAAAAGGAAAGAAAAATAGAGGAGAGTGCAATACCCGCGCGCATCCTGCTGCCAATAAGGTGCGTACAGTCCCGAGAAGGCCGGTACGAAATACACGTCGCCGGAGCATCTTACACGCTCTGCCATATCCTGCGTTTGCGTAATATTACTGAGAATTTGCATGTTATCTCGTAGCCAAGATAAAGCAGCCCCAGCGACAGCGACGGATCCCTCTAATGCGTAAACAGGCGGAGATCGTTCGATCTTGTAAGCGACCGTCGTTATCAGTCCTTGCGTCGAATCGACTTTCTGCAATGAAATACATTTATATGTATCTTTAAATTGCTGCTGACGTAAGGGATTACATCGCGGGAATATTTTATAATTTCACATTAGGGAAATACTCTTTGTACCACACGTATCGCCCAGTTGCTCTGCCATACGTACTGTACTTCCTGTGTTGTAAAGCAAAAAGCATCCTGTCCCGTACGTAGCTTTTGCTTGACCAGGTTTCAAGCATAGCTGGCCAAGGAGAGCTCCTTGCTGATCGCCCACACACTGCGGAGAACGAAACAGAAAATTTAAATATACATATACATAGAAGCAATTTACTTCTAAATAATATAAAGTGGACGCTCGTTGAATGTGTAAACAAATGATCAAATTATAAAGGCCAAAAATAACGAGCTACTACAAAGGATGTTAGAAAATCAATTATGTTCTTGATAATTTACATAGGTGAACGTTTCGACTTTACTTAGTCTTTCTCAACTTTTCTCTTTGTTTGTCATGTTGACATTTATATATATATTATACATACAATTTTTAATTTTTAACGTATTCCAACGACATTTATTAATAATTAAAATGACTAGTCACGTACCTTTAAAATTTAATGTATTATAATTAATGATTTAGGGTGTTGAGAAAGACTAAGTAAAGTCGAAACGTTCGCCTATGTAAACTATCAAGAATATAATTTACTTCTTTTACTTTCCAAGGCGTAACAAGATTACAATTTTCTTAATCTAAATTGAAAATTTAATCTATCTTATCAAACTCAAAATCATAAAGTGCCCTCTATATTGATAACATAATTCCATTTAAAATGATTAATTTTTAATATTAATCTAAACTAATAATGAAGAGGGAATATTTGCGATAAATTACCACGTTAATAACTTAAAGTTAAAATAATATTTCTCTAAAAAAAGTTTCCAACATCACTATTAGTTCATCAGAGATGAATTAAGCGGTCTATTGATACAACGATACGTTTCTTCTTCCGTTCAATAAAGGAAGACGGAGAATAAGGACGCTTCGAGGCATTTGTAGCATCCAGTTAGCCGCAGCCTTAGACGCATACTCACGCCTGCTATGGGTACGCCTGTGAGTACTTGAGGATTCGAAACGGAGCCGTAAATCTCCGCGCTGGATCGTATCTCGGGAAGAATGTGCTGCGGAATGCTGAAGAAACGGCATAACACAGGGTCCCACTTGAGCGTATCGATATTCATCAGCATCGTGCGCGACGCATTCGACACGTCCGTAACGTGCAACTGGCCCTTCGTGAGATTCTGAACGCGAGAGAAACATTCGACAATGAGACACGGAACCCTCTGCCTGCCACCAACTGCAGTGCACATTTACCCAAATGAGCCACGTGTCGACCGTTCCGAAAGCACACTTCTGCGCGTCTACCGCTTGCTTCACGCGCGGAACGTTGTCTATCAACCAGCGTATCTTGAGGGCGCTAAAATAGGGAGACATCGGTAGGCCGCACAGAGGCTTCAGGTAATTCTTGTTTCTCGTTTTGTTGGGGATTCTGTCCAACACGTTCTCCAGAGTGGTAGTTGTCCTCATGTCGTGCCATACTGCAAAGCGATACATTTCATTTAATAATAAACTTTTCAAGTGAGACCCCTATTTAAAACTAAACAATATGTATAAGAATCGCCAATGTGGGTCACAAGGCAAGATGTAGGTGGCCCAACTTGCTCCAGTTGTCGAGCCGGCTAAGACGCCCGTCACGGATTGAGGGAGGTCCCAGGTTCGAATCCTGGCTGGGGTAATATTTTTCGCAATAAAAATAAATTTACAGGATGGGGAAAATGGGGAGGGGTATTGAATGCTAAATATAGCATCAGAAAAATGCGAATTGCATTTGAAAAATAATTATCGAGTCGAATACGTGAATCTGCTGACGATAACAATTCTACGTTTAAAATAAACTGCGTTATGTCCGAACAAGAAATCGGCGCGTAAAACTAATGTGGTAAGAAACGGTATATATAGATTCGCAATTTTCAGAAAGATTTAAGATTTGCAAGTTGTGCTATCTACATCTTGCCTTGTGACCCACATTGGCGATTCTTATATATTGTTTACATTTTATTTAATATTATTCAATTCTCAATCTTTTATCAATCTGTATTAGACTATTACACACAGGCTGCGGCCCACTTGACGCTGCAAATTCTTCCTCTCCTCCTTTCGTTATTAAAAGGAAAGAAAAGAGGAGAGCTTCGCAGCATTGGTCGGGTGGACCGGAACTAGGCACGGGGAAAAATCTATCGTTGAGGCTCAAGAAATAAGGGCCTCATATATGCGTTTTATACCGATCGCATTGTGCAAAGGCTCGCCAGTCTCCTTGTCCCACACCAGTGTTGTCTCCCTTTGATTAGTAATTCCAATGGCTTTGATATCGGAGACCGACAACCCGAGACTCTTCATCTTTTTCACCGTCTCTTCTATGCATGTTAAAACAGCTCTTAATATCTCTTTTGGATCCTGTTCCACCCATCCCTCTTGAGGATACTTCTGCTTGATTTCGATCTGATGCAGGGCGACCACCTTTCTGCGCAAAACGTCGAACACCTAAACACACAAGAGGAAATGTCATCTCAGATGGGCGAAGTCTGTTTACACTGCCACGAGACTTGGACGGCCGACGTCTAGTCGAGCTGATCTTACCAAGAATCTGGCACTACTCGTTCCCTCGTCGATTGCGCCTATCAAGGGCCCGGTCCTTTTCACGTTCTCAGGCATATCGGCTCCTTTGGAACTTAGAAAGTCACGTTCTGTACGTTACTCCCCATGAGAGGATGGCATACGGCAACAAACGCCTAACCTTTGTCCTTCAATTGCGTAATATGTTTAGATTTTAAGACATAGTCTAGCGTCTACGTCAGCGACAGAGATCGATCTTTACACACTTTACAATACACGCATACATATATATTTGAATATGTGGCATAAATAGACTTTCGTTATTGCTCCATCGCCTGCTTCGAAAAAGTTCGTATGTATGTATGTATGTATACATACATACATTTCTAAAGGAGTCCACGACTCCCCGTCAAAATGATTCGGATCTCTGCTAAAGTGGTTCGAGTCCCTGCTAAAGTGGTTCGAGTCTCCGCTAAGGGACTTCTCGCTGGTCTCCAGTCTCCACGCACCGGCGGCCCCGCGGTTTAGGGTGAAATCACACGGTACGGGAATCCGCGTGCGGGACAGGGGATGCGTGATTCGAACAGCCAATCAGGGGCTCGATTCTTGAATTTATTCGAAGGAGAAATGTATGCGAAAATTCTGCTCTTACAGAAAAGTTGCAAGTTGATTGGCTATTCGCATGGCTTTAACCAATCGACTTGCATCTTTTCTGTCAGAGCAGAATATTCGTATACGTTTCTTCTTCGAATGATTTCGAGAATCGGGCCCCAGTGCTCTCCCACATTTTTCTATTCCGCGCTGATTGGGTGTTTGAATCACGCATCCCCTGTCCCGCACGCGGATTCCCGTACCGTGTGATTTCACCCTTAATCGGTTTCGCGGTTTGAACAGTCCTGCTTTCCCGCGCTAATCACGTGGCCGAATTCGTTTTTTGTTTGCACCCGGCTCTAGGTACGTTAGCCTAATAATAATTTAAGGTTTCAATATTTACATTTCAACGAAAAATTATATCTCACACCTTGTCCTTCTAAAATAAATTTTGTAAATATTTCTTCAAATTGTAGCGATTTCAACGACAAATATTCGATCGGCAGAAAGACTCATCATACACACAGAGAAACAGTTTGTCCGAACAGCTGTTATTGCTCGCGTGCCTTTTCTCCTCTTTTATTATTATCGACTAACTCCGTGTATATGATGCGTCTCTCTGGCGGTCGAATATTTGTCGCTGAAATCGCTACAAAGTCATTTCTGACGAAGTGTATAACTTGACAGTTATCTTATTAAACGCTGTGTGATAAAACGTTTAAAATGACGGCATCTCCGGAATGGATCTGGGTATGGAAAAAGTGTAATCATTGTGCAAAAGAGTTTCATAACTGTATATAAACGAAGAAAATCAATATTTAAAAAATCATTTATGTGACGAACATAAAATAACAGAATTAGATGAACATCCAGAACGGTATCATGTACGTGTACTGCAAAATTATGAAATAGCCAAACTAACAGCCACGTGCAACAATTGTGAAAAAAAGATTAATCTGGTATCTAACAGCGTGATTTAGTAACTTACTAAAACTTCAGCACGCAAACAAATACAATTTAATTAATAAAACAAATACATCTATAAATTTGAAAATCGTACGGAAAATGTACGACAAAATATCAGAGCATAAATTTAAATGTAAAGGATGTAAAGTAATTTTAAGTGTACATCCTATATCTAAAACCAATTTAACACGACACTTATTTCATTGTGGGTAAGTGCATATCCCAAATATATTTTAAATATTAATGAGTAGAAAATGGGTAATAATAAAATTACATTTAAGGCCGGAATGTGTGAATATAAAGGTGTGAATATAACATTCAGTTATAATAATAATATTCAATTATTGATAAAATAATTTTGTTTCTATTCTATATCATAGTTACTTCAAACTTAATCACCCGAAAAAATATAAAGTAAAAGACAAAAAGGATAAAAGAACATCGAGCATACATGACAAGTTCGATGAAACGAGCAATAAAATGAAAAAAAATGTAAAGCATGTGGAAAAATAATAAAAATACGCAAAGGAATTAACTGTAGACAGTTAATACGTCACCATTCTCGTTGTAGGTATAAGTATGGATAT